AGAGAGTGTACCAGCCTTCCGGAAACCAAGAGAGTCAGAGAATACTGAAAGAAAGTGTATTGGAGTGTTTAGGAAAACACTGGAACAAATACTTCTCAACATAAAGATTTAAGTAACTGTGAATAACTTACGAAACACTCATTAGCCTGAAACATAAGAACAAAAGTCTGTGCATGTACTGATTTTACCTCAGAAATTTTACCCCAATTTCACCTGACCTTTCTTCTCTATGTTACATAAAACGTTTTGTCGATTTGGCTTATAAAAACGTCTCTAGTGCCATTTAAGTTAAAGGGGGCTCCCAGTCCTTCCCTCAGGTTTCTGGACTGAGCAAACAGTCAAAATATACACTGTGACACAGAGTTCTTCAGGAAAGAAAAAAAAAACATTACTAGGACAGCTCAGTCAAACAGGGAAAGGAAAACATAGGGAAAATCTTGCCACTGAGGGAGGGAAGTGGATGGGGCTATCATAGCTACTTTCCCAAGTGTCTGTACCTTTAACCCGGAACATCATAAGACTTAATATTTATGTGACTCTCTAGGGTGTTTAACGTGCTTTGTTTTCCATAATTTTTGTAAATTGGAATAAGATTAGGGTGGGCACACATATTCTCAAAACCATATTCGTTGAGATAATGTGGGAGTTGTGAGAAATGTACTTGCAGGGGAGAGTCCCCAGGTGCTTAAACACTTCTTTCCTGCAAATTCTTGCAGTTTTAAAATTCATCTGGGAAAAGGATTTGCAGAGAAAAGTTGGCAGGAATGAATCAGTTGTTTCCTTCAAGTGTACCTCTGCCTTGTCTTATGAGGGAAACACTGGATTGCAAGCCCTGGTTATTTCTGCCCTTGTTTCTCCCATATTGCAGATGGTAAGAGATTGTAGCTTGGCTGAAGCTGCTTCTTTGACTTGGAAGCAGGGCTTCTTGGAATGCTGCTCAGTCTGTTGGCTGAGCCAGTAACCCCCCTTTGCAGTGGAGTAAAACCCATGGAGACCCTATTGCCTCACTGCAATATGGAATTTAAAAGAAAAAAAAACATTTAAAACTCTGTATTTCCTCCCTTCATCTATTCAAATGGTTTTGTAGCTTATGTTTTAATATTTATTCCTATTCAAAGAATATATCTATACAAGTCTAGCTAAGTCCTGTTTAAGTATTTTTCACCTCACTTTTCTCCTCATTGAGAACCCAAAGTGGCTTACAAAGACAGAATTTATATGAATAAAAGGGAAAAAAAAACAAATTACAATAAACGACACCTGGGATGATCCTGGACGCACTGTGCCTGCTGACTCTAGGCCACAGGCTGGAGGCATGGGTTAAGATCCAAGGCCCCGAGACCTTTGGCTTGTGCTTCTGGCCATACTGTAGCTTAAATACCTGCAATTGTGTATAGGATACTGGGCAGCTGGCAGAGATGTTCCCAAGAAACTCCCTTCCTTTCTGCAGGATTCAGTTGTTCATTTTTCTTTGTTAATTTGATTGTCTCTAGAACTTCAGCTCTGCAAAAATCAAGCAGCCTGGGAAACTTGAAGAAAGAGCCATCGGAAGTGGGTAGTCCTGTTTGAATTTTTTACCTTTTTTTTTTTTAATGGTCTCAGTTCTGATTCCTGAGGCTTTCACACACGTATATTGCTTGGTGGTTGAAATATCAACAGATGAATTGCATGTGTGAAACAACTGTACTGGATCAGACACCACAGAGAGGACTTGCATATATCTTAAGGTACAATGCTTTTTAAAGGAGGCACTCCACACATCCCAGCTGAACATCAAGCAATGGGATACCAAATGATGAATTAGCAGTGGAGGATTTTCTGGTTTTAATATCTTGGCAGCTTCTTCAGATCATGTTTGGGGAAATTACAGCCATTATGGAAAAGGGGAAATTGAGTTGATCTTTAAAAATGATTTTCTATACAATCCAGAGCCAAATATAGATAGAAGAATTACATTTTGATTAATTTTAAATTTATATCCTGCTTTCTGACAGAAATAACCAAAATTGGCAAAAAAAATCTTTAATCATTATAAAATAGTTAATTTAAAGTTTAAAACCACCACTACCCCAAATCATAAAATTTTGTAACTGTAAGCTGCCTCAACTATGACTCTGGAGATGTGACATTAAAATCTTCTAAATAAAATTGGGAGACATTATTATCTAAAACATTTTAAGCCTCAGTAAACTTATTGGTTAAAAAGCCTGGGATGGGACAGTTTTACATACATCCTAAAGGGGGCAATAGAACAGATAAACTGTGATTCCACTGAAAGGGAATTAAACAAGAGATATCACCTAAAATCTGTTTCTCATGGTAATAAATTCTACCTCATAATATGGTAGCAGGACAAAAGAAGACCTTATTGCCTGATCTGAAATCATGGTTAAGAGACAGTTATGGGGGACAGTTTATGTTCCTTCAAATATATTGGCTATATGTTCTATGAATCTTAGTAAGCTTCTGGTCTCCGAGTCATACATATTGGCCTTCTCAAACTTGTTTGTTGTGTTGACTAATAAGGGCAACAATGTCTATACTACCTCAGCCTAATCCTTAATATAAAATATAGACTAAACTGTGAGAATCTGAATATTTATCTAGTAAAGTGTTAGGGTTGACTTGATGTAGATAAGTTTTAATTGAAACTGTGTATCTACTGAATTAATCCATTTACCTGCAATATTTAATGCTTACATTTTTTTCCAAAACAGGATAAAGAGCCTGCAGAGAAGCCAGAAGAGGTATCGTGTCTGTTTTGCATGTGTTAGCAAAGATATTCTGGGTACAATATGGAGAAAGCCAAACACTGTTAGTCCCAATGAAGCTATCAGGTTCACTTGATTTTACTGGGACTTCCAGTCTAATCCTATTTAGAAGCAAGTATGATAGATTTAGCTGACCTTATTTTCTAATCTGTTATTGTGTGTGAGAGCTTGAAAATAACTTTCCGCAGTAGTTATGTTTTCCCCCAAAGACTCCTACATTTTTAGGTAGAAGGGTAAGCTACACCTACAATTGAATAACATTTTCCATGAAGTTTAACAAAATCAACTTGATGAGCATTTGCCTCTATTAATTTCTGGCTCAAGTTAAATTATATCCCACAGGTTCTGACACCTTCAATCCACCAAGATAATTTTTAGTCTTCTTGTAAAGTCAGTACATCATAAACTGCTGAATCTAGGATTTTCTCTACAAACTGTCCTAGGAATGAGCTGTGGTCAAGCTAAAGCAATGGTAAAACAAAGGCTGTTAGACACTGAGCAATAGGGAGATACTACTGGTGCCCCAAATGTTATGATTCCAGAAAATCTTAGATGTATTGTTGTTCTGGCCCCCTATCTCTCCTTGTTGGGGATTCCGGGACAACAGAGGGCATTCTCTCTGGCAAGATAGTGAGTTCTCCCCTCTGCGGTGTCAGAGGGGAGATATAAAAAGATCCCCATGTGGGAGAGAATTTGGCCTTGTGGTGCCGGTGAGGTGGAAACAATCAAACATGTTCTGCTTTATTGTTATTTCAGGAAATTCACCTAAAAATTGTTCTTCCATTGCTTAGAAGGTTTCCTGGCCATTCAGATTATAATATTTTAAGGATGTTCCTTATGGGTGATAACCCTCAGTTTACAATCTGTTGTGTGATTTTTTTTGTGGCGGCCTGTAAAATCCGCCAGGAAATTATGCATACTGAATTTAAATTTAGGTATAATTTAGGCTTGCCAAGTCCCCCCGGGGAGCGGGGAAAACCCCGCCCCAGAGGCCCGTTCCCTGCCGCTGGCGGATCGGACCCCGGGGGGAACTCCACCCCGACGTGCACGTCACCCGGAAGTGATGCGGGCACGCCGGGCATGCTGGGGGCGGGGCCATGGTCATCCGAGGGAAAACTCTATGGAAAAGAAAATTTGGTGACGTGGCACAATGTTATTTAGAGCTGATCTCATGTAGTGTGGTCTCAGTAAGTGTTTGTGAAAATGGTATTCCCTCTGTATTTAGCAAAGTAGAACAGTGTGTGATTTTATTTATTTTATTTTTATTTTATTGGATTTATATCCTGCCCTCCCCACATAGGCTTCGGGCGGGTTCCATTAAATATAATATACAATACTTAAAAACAGTTTAAAATTAATAAAATAAAATACAGTGCAGTTTCTATATATCCAGTCAGAGCCTCAACAGATGTAACCTGTCACAATTGGGCTCTGGATATTACTCAGTTCTGATCCACCAAAGGGGAGGCCCAATAGATAGATAAAAGGAGGATGTCTACCACCTTAACTAAAAGCTTGGTGGGAAAGCTCCATCTTGCAGGCCTTGCAGAATTGTAAAAGGTCCCGCAGGGTGCTGATCTCATATGAGAGCTCATTCCACCAGGTAGGGTCCAGGACCGAAAAAACCCTGGCCCTAGTTGAGGCAAAACAGACGTTTCTGGGGTCAGGGACTACCAGTAGATGTTGATTAGCAGATCGTAATGCTCTTTAGGGCTCATATGTGGATAGGCGGTCTCACAAGAATGCAGGCCCCTGTCTGTATAGGGCTCTGAAGGTAAGCACCAGCACCTTGAAACAGATCCTTTACTCAACCGGCAGCCAGTGCAGTTCACACAGCACACGATGGATACACATATGCACAGAAGATGAAGTCAACACCTGTGCTGCTGCGATAATAATCAAACAAGATGCATAGCAAACCTGGTGTGTAAGCCGCCTCAAAGTATGTCCACACTGAGTTGATTTGAGATATAAAAGCATAGCAAGTCTCCTTAATTCCTAACTGACAAAGAAATGAGGGCCAAACAAGAAGCATGGGTCACTGTAGCTAGGTCCTGTGGAGCAAGATAGGGTCTCAGTAACCTAATCTGCCTAAGATGGATAAAAGCAGATCTGGTGACTGTAGTAACCTGGGTCTCCATGGAAAGAGAGGCATCCCGTGTTACTCTCAGGCGTCTCACCTTCTGGGCTGGCACCAGAGGTATCCCTTCCAGAGTGGGGACCCTGATACCCACATCCATTCCCCCCCCCCCCCGACTTAGGTACGGGACCTCTGTCTTTGATGGATTTAGCTTCAGTTGGCTCTGCTGCAACCATCCAGCCACAGCCTCCAAAGCCTTGGCCACATTACTGCTGGTGGAGAATGGATGGTTGTCCAGTAACAGATACAGCTGAGTGTCATCTTCATATTGATGGCAACCCAGTCCATACCTCCAGACTAACTGAGGAAGATGGCGAATAATATTGGCAAGAGGATCAACCCCTGCTGCACTCCACATCCCAGTGGGTATCATGAAGAGACCCCCTCACTGAATGCCATGCTCTGTCCCTGACCATGGAGGAAGGAGGAGAACCATTGCAAGGTAGTCCCCTGAACTACTATGTCAGCAAGGCAGTAGGTCAACAGGTTATAGTCGACCATGTCTAACGCTGCTGTTAGATCTAATAGCAACACCAGTGCCGACCCACCCCGATCCAGATGTCTATGGAGGTCATCTACATCACCCCGCTGCGTTCCCCCCCCCCCCCGACTTAGGTACGGGACCTCTGTCTTTGATGGATTTAGCTTCAGTTGGCTCTGCTGCAACCATCCAGCCACAGCCTCCAAAGCCTTGGCCACATTACTGCTGGTGGAGAATGGATGGTTGTCCAGTAACAGATACAGCTGAGTGTCATCTTCATATTGATGGCAACCCAGTCCATACCTCCAGACTAACTGAGGAAGATGGCGAATAATATTGGCAAGAGGATCAACCCCTGCTGCACTCCACATCCCAGTGGGTATCATGAAGAGACCCCCTCACTGAATGCCATGCTCTGTCCCTGACCATGGAGGAAGGAGGAGAACCATTGCAAGGTAGTCCCCTGAACTACTATGTCAGCAAGGCAGTAGGTCAACAGGTTATAGTCGACCATGTCTAACGCTGCTGTTAGATCTAATAGCAACACCAGTGCCGACCCACCCCGATCCAGATGTCTATGGAGGTCATCTACAATGCTCCCTCTAACCTGTGGAGTCTTTTGACCAAAAATTCTACTTTGTGAGCTATTGACATTAAAGTTGTGAGCAAGCAATTTGGCTACTGCATAAATTAATTTGCTCTGGAGCCATTCTTCCTGAGCTAAGACAAAAATGTGTGAATTGGAGGCTAAAAAACTGTGAGATAGCTCACACTAACTCAACTTAGAGAGAACACTGGTCATCTGGAAGGGCAGAGAATAGTCACAAGGATGGGCACTGTAATAAGACCAGCGGAAAAAGGGGGGGGGGGACTGACAATTTAGCACTTAATGATATATTCATAAATCATAATATACAATGACAAAAAATGAACAATATATATAGTGAATGTAGACGGTGGTCTCCGGAATGGTGTGCCGTTTCGACAACGATCTACTTCTGAACAAGGATGTGTACATAAGCTGTCTTTTAACAATTCATTTCTCTTGGTGACATATTGAAAATATCACCGCTGATTCACTTAATCATAAAGCTATGCTTACAGCTAGGTTCTTCAATGGGCTATAGGCATTTAGCAACTATTCACTATACATTCACTATATATATTGTTCATTTTTTGTCATTGTATATTATGATTTATGAATATATCATTAAGCACTAAATTGTCACAGTTCCCCCCCCCCTTTCCTCCCGCTCATCTGGAAGGGCAAACAGTGCCATCTCTGTCCCATGGCCAGGGTGGAAGCCGGACTGGAAAGGATCAAGGTTGGAAACATCATCCAGGAAAACGTCTAGTTGTTTGGCCATCACTCTCTCAACTTACCTTACCCAGGAATGGTAAGTTTGACACTGGGTGGTATCTGGCCAGGACCCTAGGGTCCAGTGATGTTTTTTTCAAGAGCGGATGAACTACTGCCTCCTTCAAAGCCCCTGGGAAAGTCTTGGTAGAAAGGGACAAGTTGATAATTTCCCCCAGAGGGACCTGAATGCCCTCCCTGCAGGCTCTTACTAGCCAAGAAGGTCATGGGTCAAGGAGGCATGTAGTAGGCCTCACCACTGCCAAGATCCTGTCTGAAGTGGTCCAATATCGAACCTGAAGACAGACAAGGGGCTTCCAGTTCCCTTACTGCCTCAATTGTGGCTGGGAGGTCCTGGCAGAGCGTCACGATCCTATCTGCAAAATAGCTTGCAAATACCTCACAGCCAATAGCCAGTTCCCTACTATTTGGTCTGCCCTGTGGCAGAGTCATAATAGACCAAATAATTCTAAATAATTGGACTGGGTGCGAGCTTTCATACGGAATGGAGGCCGCATAGAAATCTTCCTTTGTGGCGTTCACAGCCATCTCATAGGCTTTCATAAGTGTCCTGTAAGATGTTTGTGATGCTTCGTCACAAGCACACAACCACCTTTGCTCTTGCCATCTTAGCTCTCGCTTCATCCTCCGCAGTTCTGCAGTATACCAAGGTGCTGCTTTGGTAAAACAGGGGGGGGGGGGGGGGGGGGGGAATCCCATTGATGGCTTCAAAGAGCCAGTGTTTCCAGTCCTCCACTAATTCATCTAATGAGCTGCCAGGGGGCATCGGATCCTGCAAAGCTTCCTGAAGCTGACCAGGGTCCATTTAGGTACTCGGGCGATCATAAATTCGCTTTTTGCCTAAACAGGGCAGGCATGGCATGCTCAGCCGAATCTTCAGGGGTAAGTGATCAGAACAGGGCACTATCTCAATAGCCATCAGATCCACATTAATCCTCATTCCCAAAATCAAATCCAGCATGTGGCCTGCTAGATGTGTGGGAGCTGATATAACCTGTGAGAGTCCCAGTGCCTACAGGTCCCTGACCTGAGAGGACACTGCATTGTTGGCATGGACATTGAAGTCACCCAAGGCCAAAAGCCTGGGATACGCCAGTGCCCAAAACAATACAGCATCTAACAGATTGGACAGGGTATCTGCTGGTGCGTTAGGCAGTTGGTACACCAGCCAGATAGCCCAACTCTCTTTGACATCACATGCTAGGCCAACACATTCAGTGCTGGAGATTGTTGGGGTGGGGAGCAACCTGAAGGAACAAAATCCACGGATAAGCAATGCCACCACCTCCCGCCCATTTGTTCAGGACATGTGAAAGACTGAGAACCCAGGCGAGGTAAGTTGGTTCAGAGTGACTGTTTCACCTTCCCTCACCCAGGTCTCAGCCACACAAGCCAGGTCTACCTGTGACTCCATAAGATAATCATGGAGTACATTGGTCTTATTATCGATAGACCTTGCATTGAATAATACCAGTGTCAAAGATGGGTAATTCTTCCTACCCCACAACCAACATCTCTTGGGATGGGACATAGGTGGGAAGAAGTCCGAGCATTCCCGTATCTCTTAACTTCTTCCACTCCAATTGGAAGAACAACAGCTACTCCCACCGCCATATCTCCCCTGCCCCATTATTACAGGTATCCCTGATCCTTGTATGGCCTCCTTCCTTGGTGTTGTCAACCCAAAATTCCACTCCAAAAACCAACAAGAGAGCTGCACCTACCTAGTTCAAAACCCAATCTACTCATCTCATAGGCCCTCCTGTCTAACCAAGTATCCCATTATCTCCCTCTATTATCCATGGGGTCACGAAGAGTCGGACTCAACTGTGCGACTGAACAACAAAAATTATCTAATTAGCCCACCCTATTACAACAGGAAACCCAATTGAATGGATTAATTAAAACAAAGGGAAATACCAAATGCAGTCACGCCGGCTTCTCCTCCTCTCCTATTGCTCCTTGGCCAGTGGCTGCGCCTGGTCTTTCGCCTCTGGCTCACTCCATTGCCGGTAGGTACCCGAGGATGCCCCAGAGCCTCTTCCATGGGGCGGGGAAGGGGGGGGGAAGTCTGGTGGAAAGGTATTCTCTGGTGACGGCGAGCGAGCAAGAGACTACGACTCACCTTGCCCTTGCGAGGCTGCCTGGCTGGCTGGTGAACCAGTGGTGCAGGTCCCTGGCTGGCTGGCTGACTGGACTTCACCTTCCTATTTATTTATTTATTTGACTTATATCCTGCCCTTCCACGTGGGCTCAGGGCGGCTAACAAGAGGCAATTGCCATACATAACACTAAAACCAGATAAAACAATCAATTCCATTTACATTTACATTTAAAATCGGTGCTCGTAACAATATGTCATCCAAGACGGGGCTCCAATACAATGTTTCAGAGGATCTACTGTCTCCTCTTGATCAGTCTACGCTATGTCCGTTCTTCATTCCCAAGGCCAGATCGCATTGCCAGACATGGCAGCATGGTGGTGGTACAGTGATGGCGGCGGCTCCTACTCGAAAGCCTGGCAGAAGAGCTCCATCTTGCAGGCCCTGCGGAACTGCATAAGGTCCCACAGGGCCCTGATCTCCTCCGGGAGCTTGTTCCACCAGATAGGAGCCGCCATCAAAAAAAGCCCTGGCCCTAGTCGCAGCATATTTGGCATCTCTAGGGGCTGGGACAACCAAAAGATGTTTTGCCCCCGACCGTAGTGCCCTCGGGGGAACATATGGGGAAAGGCGGTCCCTTAGGTAAGATGGACCCTGGCCATATAGAGCTTTATAGGTAAGAACCAGCACTTTGAAGCGGACTCGGTACGCTATTGGCAGCCAGTGTAGTGCCTTCAGAACAGGCTGGATGTGGTCTCGCCGAGAGAGGCCCATCAACAGCCTGGCTGCTGAATTCTGCACCAGCTGCAGCTTCCGGATCTGCGACAAAGGCATCCCCATGTAGAGAGCGTTACAGTAGTCCAACCTCGAGGTAACCGTCGCGTGGATCACTGTGGCCAAGTCATCGCGGTCAAGGTAGGGAGCCAACTGCCGTGCCAGCCACAGATGGTAGAAGGCTGACTTGACAGTGGCTGCTACCTGGGCCTCCATCGTTAAAGAGGCATCCAGGAGCACCCCCAAACTCCTAACCTTTGGCGCCGGCACCAGAGGCCGGGAGAGGGAGCCCCAACCCTGAACTGACCCGACTTAAGCCCAGGACCTCTGTCTTCACCGGGTTTAGCTTCAGTCGACTCAGCCTGAGCCAACCAGCCACAGCTTGCAATGCCCGATGAAGGTCATCCGGCTCAGAATCTGACTGGCCGCCCAACATTAGATAGAGCTGGGTGTCATCCGCATATTGATGACAACCCAGCCCATAGCTCTGAGCAATCTGGGCGAGGGGGCGCATATAGATGTTAAATAGTATTGGGGACAGCACTGCCCCCTGAGGCACCCCACACTCAAGAGGTTGCCTCCGGTAGCGCTGATCCCCAATCGCCACCCTCTGTCCCCAACCTTGAAGAAAAGAGGCAAACCATTGAAGGGCAAGCCCCTGAATCCCCTCGTCGGCAAGGCGGTGGGTCAGCAGCTGATGGTCGACCGTATCGAATGCGGCCGACAGATCTAACAACAGCAATGCCGCCACACCACCTTGATCCAGATGCCTTCGGAGATCGTCTGTCAAGGCAACCAGAACAGTCTCCGTCCCGTGATCTGGGCGAAAGCCAGACTGGAAGGGATCAAGGACTTCCTGGCTTCTCCCCTTCCTTCACCGGCACCTCCCTGCCTGGCTTCCTCCCCGGATGGACAGCCGCCCGCGGCCCAGTCTAGGGCTCGTTGTACTGTTTTTACAACAGGCTTGGCTGCTAGTACTTAATATAACAAAATTCTGCATGGGGCATTCAATTCACGTCTACCAGACCAGTCTGACAATCACCGAGACCTGTCACTCTGAGGCCCACACAATCTCTCCTCTTATCTGTCCTCTGATGATAAATCATAGTAGTAGGTAACAGGCTCAATGGGGCAGTGACCAGAATCCTCCACAGCTTCCTGCTCCCCGAATAAAAGGCAGGACAGTCAAACACCCTGCAGATCTTAGTAGGGTTAAGGATCCTGAGTTCCCCCTCACAGTCACTCAGCCATGAGTTTTCTTCTAGGCTGGTCATCACGTCCATGGCCCATGATGCTTTGACCTGAAGGAGACCAGGGCCAGCTCGGGTGAATGGGAAGCAAAGTTCAGAACCTCAGTAATGAGACTTTGAAGAACTCTGGAGGTGCAGTGTAGAATCACATCTAAGTGCAAACCACTAGAGGCCACAGACAAGCTGACTCAGGTTCACGTCAGTTTGAGGCACCAAGTCCCAAATGCATGGGTCCAAAGTGGAAACATTGGGGATCAGAGAAAGCTGCTGGAACTGCTTACTGCCTATAACTGGGTCCACTCGACTCCAGTTATTTACAGGTATTTTCAGGAAAAGATCCCACTCGACTTCCCCCTCTGCCGACAAGGTATTCAAAGGCATCCCATAAGGCAGCAGCGAAATCGCTGTTTGCAAAGCCAGCCTCAGGTAACCAATAGACAGCAGGAGGAGTAGGAGACTTCACAGTTGTGCAGGCGTGGTCCAGGCCACTTGCTGGGAGTCAAACAAAAGTACTTTCTAGTCTATTACTTTCACATTTCCAAGGAGGAGACATCGGTGTTGGTCTTCAGTGCAAGTCCCAGGTAGGACTGGTCAGTTCTCAATCAGTTTAATCATTTTGTTTGGTTAGAAGCAATTTAACAGAGGTCAGACCTTGGAGCTCCCATTTAGAGCTCTCAGCCAGTCTCCATCTTAGTTGGGAATCTGATTCATTGTGATGCTAGAAAAGCCATCTGATTGATTGTGATGCTAGAAAAGCTGGTGACCTAGCTACATCACACTGCCGCTCAATGTCTAAGATCCTTTGTTTTATCGAAGCTTTCACTTGCTCAAATTCCATTTGCAAAATCGAGAGGGGGGGAAATCCCATGTTTACCAAATTATCAATTCTTGCCTTTTCCCATTCAGATTGAAAGCTGTCACTAAGAATAAGGGGAGTAAACCCCTTAGGATAGTAGTTTAATTTTAGCCATAGATTAGTGGGGGCTAAGCACGCCCTAACCAACACTTTAATCATGCCTGTTTCCAATCTCAGATTTGCATTTGAGACCCATCTGGGTAGTTGAATTGTTCTTAAGATTTAGTGTACATACATTTGTATGCTAACTGTGAGCATACTGCCTTAATTTCTCATTTGTCTCTTTCATTACTCCACACTTGAGTGCAGTGAGCACAGTATAATAGCAACATCAAGGTTTTTGATCTTTCCTTTCAATCAGAGCAAGATGCCAGCAGAGGGCAGCAAATACAGAACTCTCCCTCCTAAATCCCCAGATGACGATGATGCCTTTGGGACCCGTAAAGCCCGGTCTTCATTCGGGCGAGGATTTTTCAAGATCAAAAGTAATAAAAGGACAGCAAGCGCACCTAACTTGGGTAGGTACTGTATAGCCTGAGGTCCAACTGTGTCACTGTGCATTTTAATAGAAGAAGATACTAATTTTGCTATTAGAAAACAAACAGAAGCAGGCACTGTCTGAACCAAAAGCATTTTGGAAGGTGAAGCAACGCTTCGGTTGCTATTTGTTCCTCAACTTCCACAAAATTATAGGAAAATAAAACAGATGCAGCATCTGTTGTCCTGTTCTTATATTCCATATATCCTGTCACATTTGTGCCACAAGCAGAATGTGTTGTGTGATGCAAAGCCTGCCTGTGTTGTGCATTTTGCGGTGTGTGTTGTCTGTGCAGCCTCTCAGCTTTGAAAAGGGGTAGAAAATCACATCAGCAAGAGAGGTAAAGGTAAAGGATTCCCTTGCTTGCAAGCCAGTCGAATCCAGCTCTAGGATTGTGGTACTCATCTCTGTTTCCAAGCCAAAGAGCCAGCGCTGTCTGAAGACTTTTCCATGGTCATGTGGCCGGCATGACTAGACGCCGAGGTGCACGGAACGCTGTTACCTTCCCACCGAAGCGGTACCTATTTATCTACTTGCAGTGTTCTAGGTATTGCAGAGTAGGCAATGCACAGGTCCTGGAGTACCCTTGAGATGTGTAGGACAAACCAAAGTGAGGAAAGCCAGGAATAGTGAGGGCTCCAACTCAGACCTGGGATATCAGTGATAGTCTAGGTACTGAGAGCAGTGTGGTGGAAAAACCAGTATTCTATAGAACTAGAGTATTGGACTTTTTAGTCCGACAGAGATCATTTGTAAACGGGAAAGTGTGAACCATACTCCCTTCTTTCCAAACCAGTTCAAAGGTTTGTTGGGACCTTTTTGACTATTTCCTTTGAATGATAGTCTTGCTTCTAAAATAGGGAAAATGTCATTAATCTCTGGGAGTGGCAGCTCTTTGGCAATTTGCTATACTTTAGAAGTAGGCTAAGCATGGGCATGAACCTCGTCATGAACCTGATTTTGTGAACATTGCCAGTTCGTGGTTCACAAACCAGAGCATGCCCATCCCTATCTGCTACCCTCCCATGACCCTCCATGTGATTTTGGCGGTTTGTGGTGGGAAGTGGGGAGGAGAGTGAAAGGGGATCACTGAAATGGCTTGCGAAAGGTACGGGTGCCGCACGTGAGTAAAATCCAAGCAGCAAGTTCACCTGGAAGTGTGGCGCCCACTTGCAAAAGCCATTTAAATGGAACCTTCCCTTTAAATGGCTTTTACAAGATCTTTCTCCCCTTCCATTCTGCTGACCTCAGGGAGCTGCTGCCGGCAGAAAGGAGGGTGCTACCAGAAAGGAACCTCACTGATTCATTAAATGGGAGAGGTTTAGGGAAGTTCACAGTTCGTGTAGCCTCACAAACCATGAACTGGTATGAACCTCCATTTTCTTGGTTAGTAGATAGAACATAAGAGAAGCCAATGTGGGATCAGGCCAATGGTCCATGTAGTCCAACACTTTGTCACACAGTGGCCAAAAATACCAGGTGCCATCAGGAGGTCCAGCAGTGGGGCCAGGACACTAGAAGCCCTCCCACTGTTGCCTCCCCCAGGCACCAAGAATACAGAGCATCACTTGCACCAGACTGAGAGTTCCTATGCCTTGTGGCTAATAGCCACTGATGGACCTCTGCTCATGTTCATGCCCATCCCTAATCCTCCATTTTTCTGGGGCTTTTTACTATCTCCATTTATACTTCTTTCACTTCGCTACTGTCTTCTAGTGAATATTGTGGTGAAGGTAACTGTGTTGACAGAAAGGGAGGTGGACCAAAGCACATTTTTTAATACGGGTTTCAGGGAATGAAGAGGAAACTTCTGATTGCTTTCTGGGCTCTGCAAGTTTTTACACTTTGCAGTGAAAGCAAAATAACTGTCTCCTCACCTTAAACTACAGACATCCCTTGTAGTTGTCTAATTTGATTACAGGGTTTTTCATGTTGTATTTGAGGTCCATGCAGGACAGAAATTTAGTTCATGAAAATAGTTCAAATGTGAGTGGAGGTCAGGCAGGTGTTTGGTTTGCCATCACGTAAGGTGCTATATGGATAAAGTATTGAACGGTAACCCACCTTGAATTTTTGAAACTGAACAAGGTAGAAATTTATTTTGTTTCATTGATTAGGATGTAATATTAAAGTATATTAATATCATAAGTATATTATGTAATATTAAAGTATAGTCTGAACAGTTCATGGAAGCCAGTCTCCACTGCAAATCTTAACTGTATCACAAATTTTCTATTTTCTGAGCCCAGTGATTGCAAGGCTGTTAGGAATCTGTGTACTTTGACCTCTCTAGAGTTATATAAAAGCTGCATGAAATACTAAGTATTTTTATAGAAGTATCTACTGCATGTTGTCCCTTCCTGCCATTTGTGCTGGTCCAAAACCCCTCAATTGTTGAGGGTGACCAATGGCATGGTTGTTTCTGATTTGGCCCACTTGTGTGTAAATTGTGAATGTTACACATGAGTCCCTTTTGGGGGGAAGGGTACTGTTTCCCCCTTGTCTTGCTAGTGTTAAATTTTGATAAGTCTTATCTTGTCGTCCTCCCTTTTGTGCTGCGTGTCGTTACGGGATGCCTGAAGATCGCAGTCGAAGTGCAAGTGCACCCACCTTAGGTACAGTAGACCTTGCATGCCTTATCAGCGCCATGCCATGTGAACCACTAACCCCAGAGCTGTGGCCATGCAGGGCGCTACAACAAAAACATCTGGATAGGACTGTTGGCTTCATCCATGTCTTTGCCCTATAATGCTCACCACTAATAATCGCCTGCTGCCATTTTCGGTTGCTATAACCGGGATTAACAAGAAATGTTGCAGATGGACAAGAGTTTACGAAGTTCCAGAGGCATGCATTTAGCGTCAAGAGGTGCAAGCAATGACAGATGCAAATAACTGACGTAAAAGAGGACTTAAAACTGACTTCTTTTTGGGCCATCCTTGCTGTGAAGCAGTTGCTTTAAGGTGGTAGAGAAGGCATTACTTTCATCCCTCCCATCCTACAGGCACTTATTCCCAGATCCGTAGCGCCAGTACTGCCCAGTTAATTTGCCCTGGGCTCCCTGATGGAATGGTGGGATAACAGTGCGGTCTCACTCGTTGGGGTGTGGGGGTGCAGGCGATGCATAGACGACACAAGACAAACAGCTTCTGCAGAAAGCTGACTGAATGAAGGAAGGAAGGAACGAACCAACTCCTCTCACGCACCAGCTATATTTATTCAAAAAGGCATCTCCTCCTTTCCCCCTCCCTTTCATACATTATATCATCCTAGGCATGAGACATGAACTAAGGAATGTGTGTGTTTGTAGGCAAGTTCTCTGTTATCTTTGCCACTCCCACTCTCTCAAGGTTACACTGACTGCTTAGTGAGCAGTAAACAGATTCCATCTCGGCCTCTCATGACGTATAAGTATTTCAGTTCCCAATTTCCAGCCAGGAGAATAGTGATTTATTCTGCTCTGCTTTCCTACATAACAGTGTGCCAGATGGACAGGGTTGTTAGTTTTCCCCTGCAGTGAGGGAAGTGCACATGATGAAACTTATATGATATTGAGAGTTCTCCCATGTATATCTTTTTTTAATTTTTATTTTTCAAACAAAAGAACAAAAAGGAACAATCACCACTCAAGACAAACTAAACAAAGAAGGAAGGACCTTCTAAATTAACAAAAGATAGAACCATAGAAACAAGATTGCAGGGAAAACCCCCCCACAATAATACAAAAGGAAGACAATGTTGAATCAAATTATTGACAGAGGGCTTAATATTTAACACATTTTTCAATTTATCTTACAAGGTATAACTAAGAGAGGATGCTAAAGGTAATTCTTTGTATACTTTATACTTAATTCCTTTTCTATAATTTCAGGAAGGGATTGGATAGGTGTTGAATACCTTTCTGATTCATATATGAAATGAAATCATGCCACGTTTCATAAAAATCTGACATTTTAGCTTTACTTTTGACTGCTCTAAGTTGATATGTCAATTTTTCTGCCATAACTCAGAATACCAATAATGTAATGTTAATAATTCTGTAGACTTCCAACACTTTGCTATTACCCTATGGGCTGCCATCAACATAAACACTATTAATCCCTTGGATGTCACGTTTCCATTTTGTTCCCCCACATTGTTAACAAAGACAGTGCTGGTGTGGCATAAATAATTTGATGTGTAATATTTTCCATTTCTGTAAATATTTTTTCTCAAAACTGACACTGCAGGGCATGATTACCACATGTGGATGTAGTCACCTTGCTGGTTGCAATTTCTCCAACATTTTGTGTTACTTGTGTTAGTTATTCTTGCAAGACGTACCAGAGTAATATACAGCTATTGATACAGTTTTCCTTGTTTAAGTCACCCATACTTTATTCCATATATTTTGTTCTATTTTTATCCCAGTATCATTTTCCCATATTGTTTTCAGACTATTCGGACATATTTGTATCTATTTCAACTAAGAATATATTTTAGAAGGTATTCCTTTTGCACTATTCATATGTTGTATTAGAATCTGTTCAAATTTCATCATCGTTCTGGTCACAGTTTGCTTTACTGTAGGATTTACAAATAAGTAATGTAATAGATGGACTCCAACTCATTGAAACTCCTTGCAACTTTCCTTTTAATTGTACGACAGTAAGGGGAGTTCCATTTTCATAAAAGTCTCTCATTCTGTAAATCCCCTTTTGTTTCCATTTTACATATTCTTCTGATTTACTTGTTAGCCAAATTGCCTCAATTTATTAATAAATGTGGGTAATATGAATATTAAATGGCAATAGGCATTAAATATAGGATCAGACCTGTGTATACAGGAGTCCAACTTTAGCCAGATTCCAGAAATAGACACTGAGACTAGATCTTAAAAAGCAGTGATTTCTTTTACTGAAAGAATTCTCACACACACAATATAAAATCAAACATACACACACAATACAGATCTAGGAATACATATAGAAAGGTATAGAGACGTTTGCATTACAGGTAATATCGTTGATAGGCAATACTTTACCTGTCCAACGTAGTGAGTTGATTCTGCAGCAGAAAAGATGGTGACATTAAGGGAAGGGATTGTGTACTGACTGGCAGTGCACATGGAAGGCTTCAAACAGCACTAGAATGGAACCAGTAAGGTAGAGTGGGGATAGGGAGATGAGAAGTGAGAGAGAGAGAGCAGTGGGGTGATGCTCTCTTTTATACCCTAAAATGACTGGGAGCTGATGTTCCTTTAGTCACATAGTCCTTATGAAGCATAACTACTGTTAATAGGCCAGGAAAAGGGGCAATTGAAATAGTGGTCTTAAGGGGGAAGGGGAGAGACAAGAGAGAGAAAAGAATAGTAATGTCCCAACTCCATTGCCGGTAGTTGCTGTTAAATCCAATGCTAAACAGCTGTGTTGGCTGGAAGACATGACTACTTCCTTAATCCCATCGTTGAAGGAGTTCTTTTGCTGAGGCTGAAGTTGCCTACATGCTTCACCTGGAGATGTCAATATGCAGAGATGTGGGGGGAGGTGTCAGCATGATAGAGAAGAGAGCTTTCTATGGTATCTGGGAAGGAATGTCCAGGTTCCCTTTGCACAGCATGGCTTCTCTTCGGTGAACTGCTGCTGGTCCTATATATGTTTGCAGGGTCAGCGAGGCTAGCTTAGGCATCTGGTCTCCCATGGGTCCACATCTGGTAAGGCATGTTGCTTCAGAACAAGGTTCCCCTTGTCTGGGCACATGTCAGCATTCCAGCAGGGTAGCACAGTCTCATGGTCACCATTCAGTCCATTTCCCTGGCACATTATTTGCACAGTACTGCTTTACAGTTATAGTCCATAACCTTTATAGATGCTGTATAAGGTGGCAGCATGGCAACATATTTCGGTAAGAAAAATTGGGGTGTGACATAAATGGAAGCAGGGGGGATATCTCTGAAATTAACTTGTTTTTCCATTTATTCCAAAATTTTAATGTGGTGTATAGAAAATTAGTCTCAACCCATTTTATGTCTCTTATTCTTTCCCTTCCAAAAACAACTTTTTCAGTTAATTCCCAGATGGTTCCCATTTGCTTCCATACCCACCCACGGTTTATCAGAAGTACCCTCCAAGTATGATATCAGTACTTTCAATTGGTTTGCTTCGTAGTATTTACTTATGCTGGGTTCTCCCCATCCCCCTTGGTCCAATCTCTTTTGTCTCAAGGTCTTCGTAAGTTGTAGTCTTTTACCTTAATAAATAAAATTATTTTTATAAAAAAATTATTTTAAAAAAATTATTAAAAAATTGGTGAGTATCTTTTGCCACTTTGCCAAGTCTTTTGGTTCAATTACTATGGGAACTGTTTGAACGAAATAATTAATTTTGACAACGCCACCATTTTTATAGCACTGGTTCTATCCATAATGGTCAGGTATATCTGGGACCATCTCTTCACATCTTTTCTTCTTTGTCTGATCGCTGGATGGAAGTTTAACTGCTGAAGTTTATTTAAATTCTTCAAAATAGTTACACCCAGATATTTAAATGATTTATGAAATAATGGGACACCTAAATTATTTTGAATTTCATATTGTTTTTGGCTTAATATAGATCTATAGTAATCCAGATATTTTATAATTAATACATACTCCTGCTATTGTTCCATATTTATGGATGTCTCTAATTAAAACTTGTAAAGGTTATTTAGGATTTGCAGTTAATATTTATTTTATTGGATTTGTATCCCTCCCTCCCCACATATTGTCACATCATCAGCAAACATATTGTATGTATTTGACCGCTTATTTATAGACCTCTAATATGGTTGTTAGTCTTTATAATAGTTGCTTAGGGAGAGGACAAAAAACAGGGGTGATAGGGAACATCCCTGTTGAGTTCCTGTGGCTAGGGGAAAGCTTCCAGAATCGTATCCATTTACTCACACTCTAGCTTTTGATCCAATGTAGTTCACATCTGTTCTCTGCTACTTTGAATCATCCTGCAGCTTTCTCTTCATTGCTGCTGAACATTCTTTTCCAACTTTCCTCAGCAATTATTTCTAAGTGTGCATTTTACATGTGAATTGGGGACAAATATATGTGTATGTTGTAATCAATGCTCCCTCTAAGCTGTGGAGTCTTGTGAGCAAAAATGCTACTTTGTGAGCTACTGGCATTAAAGTTGTGAGCGAGTGATTTGGCTACTGCATAAATTAGTTTGCTCTGGAGCCATCCTTCCTGAGCGAAGGCAAAAATGTGTGAGCCGGAGGCTAAAAAACTGTGAGCTAGCTCACACTAACTCGTCTTAGAGGGAATACTGGTTGTAATATAGGTACAGTATTCTCCATCAGGGAACCAGGATCAGCCTGTGGCTTTGTTAAGTGTTCTTTTATAAGCAAACCTGGATTTGCTGTTGGGTAATGGGGAAGAAGCATTTGCCCCTTGCTGGATTTTTTTTATCCTCCTTTATTTGTGGGCTTTTGCTAGTATTCTTCTGCTTAAGAAGTATATTACTAATGTATCCTCTGCTTACAGGGGGCTGGGGGGTGTACATTCTAATTCGTTTTCAGGGTGCCATCTTGATCTCCAAGTCTTGGGTAAGCAAACAGTTCTTGTGGTTCAGATTCCTTTTCTAAA